ATTTGGGATTCACCCATACCCATGCTCTATCCTTCCTCTATATTCTAGGTTATTCTTGTCTGCTAAGTACTTAGGACCATGGAAGTGCTGGATCTATCAAAATCATGAAGTGTTTCCTGACACAAAATTAGTACTCTTGACAGAGGTCCTCAGATTAAAATATTCAGTCCTTAAAGAGCAGTAGATTTTTAACAAGGTACTTTAAACAAGCAATATGATGAACTTAATTCATGTTATTATGCATGACTAATTGATGTGTAATCCTATCATAAGTACTTTTAAAAGAAATGTTAATTATGTAAAGTATGTTCCTAAATTTTTAAAATTTCATGTTTTATTAAAATAGTTTGGTGACAGGAGAGTTATCATTAAAGCATATTATTCTTGCCTGGGAGAGTCATTGGTCAGTTCATGGAAATGTTTCCAGGTTTATCACACATTTATTCCCTACTACTGAGACCATAGAATATGGAATGTTTTTTAATCATAATAATCTCTACTTTGGGGGGGCAATGAATGAGTGGCATGATTTACTGCTTGTAATTTGAGTATTGTTATTTATTCAAGTGTGTTTTGTCCATCTTTTATAACCTGGATGCTTTTTCTTTTTTTTTGAGTTGGAGTCTCACTCTGTCACCCAGACTGGAGTGCACCCACTTCCGGCCACTACAGCCTCGACCTGCTGGGCTCCAGTGATCCTTCCGCCTCAACCTTCCAAGTAGCTGGAACTACAGGCGCGCGCTACCACACCCGGCTAATTTTTGATTTATAGTAGTGATGAGGGCTCGCCAAGTTGCCCAAGCGGGTCTTGAACTCACCTCAGCCTCCCAAAGCGCTGGGATTACAGGCTGAGCCACCAAGACCGGCTGATGCATTTTTTAAATTGAGGTTAGGGTTTTGTCATCCAATGTTGAATGCCTTGAATACAGTAGTATTCATAAAATGAGATTAATATTAAAGTAGTACTCAATGAATAAAATTATATAAAACTTTTAATAATCTTTACAATTATCTCAGAGATTAAATTTGTTTCTAATATTTCAAGACTGGGTGGTCCAATAAGGAAGTGAATAACTGGCTCTGTATTAAGCTAGAAAGGATGATTTATAAACGTGATCAATTCTTTTGCCCAGAGAGGACACCCCAGAATAGTAAAACTACATTTATAATGATGACTTATTAAGACTTTTTTCTTTCTAGGAATACTTTTACATTACATACACATTTACAAACTCATCCAGTTTCTAGACAGGGGTGAGATCAGGTTTGCTACGAGGAATCACATTGTCTTTCCACTATTTAACACCCAATAACTGATCATAATAATAGATAAATCTCCAAAACTTGTGTGTTCAAACCTGCATTTTCCATGTGAAAATATCAAGAAATAGTTTAATAGTCAAATTGGAGACCGCTAAATCCAGGGGGAGAGGTACATATACATGATAGAATATTACACAACTGTGAAGAAGGACAAAATCATGGACTTTGCAGCAAATTGGATGGAGTTGGAGACAATCATACTTAGTGATCTGTCACAGAAACAAAGAATCGAATACCCCATGTTCTCACTCATAAGTGACACCTGAACATTTATCACAATAGCACAAGAAAGAGATTGGCAGTTGCGCGACACTGCCGTGGGATGGAGTGGGCACGCGACAACACAAAGTGTATCTGGTACTAAACCAGGGGAAATGAGGACCAGTTGGAGGCCCAGACTTCACCTGCACATAGGCTACTTATGTAATCTTTATTTTAAAAAATCACTTTATATTTAATAACAAAATAAGGTTATTAAAGAGAGAAATTATGAAGCAAAATAAAAACCAATACATTCTGCAGGGCACTGAGAAACTGTGCTAGAACTCAATCTGGAAATTGCTCTTCCAGTGTAGCTCATTGTACTCCTCTCAGAATTTAAATTATAGAGAGATGAGCAACGCCATGGGAAGGACACACAGAGAAGTACATCAACACAGAAAAGACAGTGGGCTTCAGAGGACGGCAAGTAACAAATTAAAACACCGTAAGTAAGGTCTAGTTTTGTTCAGATCATTCCAAAAGCAAAGAGGAACATCAGTAGCTAGGGCTGTTGTCCTCAGAGCAATAGGTTATACCAAAATTTTAACCTTAAGCAATTGCATTAGCAAATTCTAGGCAGTGGATAAAAATGCCATGAAAGAAAACAAAATTTACCATTTAAAGTTATCCAACATGGAATTGCTTACTGAAGAGAGACTGAATTTAACTTCAGAACCATGTTGTATGTTATCTGAAGACTGTGTGTATTCTTCCTTGAACTATTTTATTAGCTGTTTGTCTTTACAAATCTATAGTGTTTTCTTACATCCTCTATTAACTCTACTGTGCCTTTTATAAAGTATTTTATTAAACAGTCCTTACAGATGATTCATAAATGTGATCAATTCTTTTGCCCAAAGGGGCCACCCCAGATTAGTAACACTACATTTATAATGATGCCTTAGGAAAACTTTTTCTTTCCAGGAATGCTTTACATCACATACACATTTACAAACTAATCCAGTTTCTAAACAGGGATGAGACCAGGTTTGCAACGAGGAATCACATTGTTTTTCCACTATTTAATACCCAATAACTGATCATAATCATAGATAAATGGCATCGTTGATGAGGTGTATCCATCTCTAAAACCTGCATGTTCAAACTCTATACTTCTGGTCATATTACGTGAATGTCCAACAAAGAACTATTCAAAAAACTGATAAGCGGAAACTTCATGTAAACTTAGTGCTATTTGACAAACATTGTTGAGATATTTAACAGAATCTTTAAGTGCTAAAGAGCAATAGGCAATTTAATCATTTTTATTAGAGGAGACAGACTGGATGGCAAATTTCTCATGTATTATCAAAGAGAGAACAAGAATGAGAGAGAGAGAGAGAGATTTAGCTTCTGAACACAGTGTGTTTGCTAAAGTAACAGGAATATCAGGCTGGCGCAATTTGAAAAGTATTTCTAAAATGTTCCTGCTTCTAGTTAATATCATGCTTGTGGCCAGTAAAAAATTACCAAAAAGTCTCCAATCACACATTTGCTAATTCATTCATTCAAAAGTTATTTATTTAATGCATCTCCCATGCCAGACACAGTTCTGAGCATTTAGGATACAGAGAAGGATATGACAGAAAATTTTCTGTCTCCATAGAGAATAAAGTATTATAAAAGGTAATAGGCAGATGACAAACAAGCATAAAATAAATGAACAAAACAAGTTCAGATAAATATTGGTTCTCAGGAAAACACACACACACACACACAACACAAGGCTGTAGGACACTTCTAAGTAGCTGGAGGTGGGTACACTTGGATGTGGAAAGGCAGGGACAGGCTTTTTGATGACAAGAAATGCAAATCTCAGTAATTTCGCGGCTGGCTATGCAGGATTTTTTTATTCATCTCTCTCATGCTGACCATATTTTGCCATTTTACTAATTATTACTGTTCCATTAAAGTGTTGAAATGCCAGTCGATAAATGATTATTGAGATCCCACTGTGTTCTCAGCACCAGTACGACTGGAAATGTGGCTGAATTCAAATAACTAATTTTACTGCTGTGATAAAATATGAGGTGGGGAATGATGCTTAGGTTGGTAAGTAACTTAAGCTTTCTTGTTTTGAGAGGCTCATCGGAGTCAAAGCCCTCCCAATCCATTCATATCTCACATGTCTGAAACGGCCATCGGTGTCAGGCTCTCTTCCAAAAGGAGGCATCATGTATCGCCACTAGATGGCACCAATTATTTTCATATTTTTAGGTCAAAGAAGTCTTTTTCTAAGTAACGGCCATGTTTAAAATAGAAGAATGTTTCTTAGCACTGCTATTAATAAAACTATTATTCTTTTATTAATAATTTTCTTATAGGACAAACCACAGCAATAGCACAAAAGATGGTATGTTCTTTCAGCCACACACTTGTTCATTCAATGTACATTTGTGTCAAATAATCTTTTAAAAAAATTTACTGACACTGTTTTTAACAAATAAAAAGGAAAAAGCAATTAAAAATATATCATAATTTAATATATAAATATCAAATTTGAATACATAAACATGAGTGAAAAAATAATTCATAAAAGTATAGTACGATAGTACATGTGCCTTAAAATTCTTTCACAGAAACTAGTTTCAATAATGTACAGGATAATTTTATATTTTTAAGGAAATGTTCCCATTATGTTCCTCAAAAATGAGTACTATTTTTAAATATATTGAACAAACTATGGTATTAATTTATTACAATTAAATGTAACAAAAGTTATTGCAAAACATAAAATGGGATGACATCATTTCACTAAATGTAAAAACTTGATATGTATAGCTTTATCAAATTTGATTAATAAAAATTTGGGTCTGAAAGACATGCTTTGTTGTGATTTTTGTATTTCAAACTGGTAATTTTATAGTGTCATTAAAATATTATGCAAATCAGCCAGGCATGGTAGCGCGTGCCTGTAATTCCAGCTACTCAGAAGGCTGAGGCGGAAGGATCGCTGGAGCTCAGCAGGCGAGGCTGCGGTGGCCGGGAGCAGCCACTGCATTCCAGTCTGGGTGACCAAGTGAGACTCCAACTCAAAAAAAAAAAAAAAAAAAAAAAAAAAAAAAAAAAATATATATATATATATATATATATATATATATATATATATATATATATAAATGATTCTGAATAAATATAACCTACATTTTTACATTGGTAGACTTCAAAATAAAATAAAGTACAATAACAAAATGACAGTACACATAAAATGCATTGAAAGGTACAAAATGCTATATAAATACATTATAATCACTTGGAAAAAATGAAAACTTACATGTTTATTATTTTAATAAATGTATTTTTAAAATATAAACATCCTTGCTTCCTCAGTGTAAAGAATGCGTGTCCCAAACTAGCTGCTACTATGATTGACACTATATTTCTTTTGTTTTAAAACAGTTAAAAATAATACTCACTCTAACACTATCCAAAGTCTTTTGCCTCATAGCAAAGAGTGTTCTAAATCTCTGATCTTCCTCAAAGATTCTCATTTTACAGTTCTTTCTCTCTTGCATGAGATGATCGAACACAGCTTGTGCATGCTCCTTTTTAAATCTTATAGTTATAAATTTGTTCCTATGAAGAAAGGATTTCGTGAGTCACTCAATGATTCATATTTTGTTTTCTAAAATGTGTTTGTGATACATTTAAACAGATCCAAAATACAACATCTTGGAAGACCTTGAGCTGAAGGGCCTTGGGAAAATTCCCTAGATTTTTTTTCCAAAGGCCTACTTCTGTAGAGCTACATCTATATAATCCATGTGGAAGACATCTATATAATCTGTGGAGTAATTGAGTAGATTCTCTTGATTGCCTACCCAGGCTGCCTCTGCTCTTTTAGACATTCCATGAAGAACCCCTCCTCCACACTGCATGTAACACTAGAGGTACATTCTGGTTAGATGAAGTCAATCAGCACATGACTGATTGTCCAGGAGTAAGCATATATATTAAGATAGCTCAATAGAATGAATGAGAACAACTTAACTCCATATGGAAGAGCTCATGTCCACCAAATGTGACATGAATCATGTTGTCCAAATTGCTGAAAACAGCCACAGTGGAGAGAGAAAAAAACAAATGCCTGCTCTTGAGCTGTTGAATCAACCAATCCAGTAGCTTGCCCTACCCATGGACTTCCTGTTATATAAGATTATATGGTTTTTCTATTGTTTTCTATTTCTGTTATATGAGAGAGAGAGAGAGAGAGAGAGAGAGAGAGAGAGAGAGAGAGAGAGAGTGTGTGTGTGTATTTTCTCATTTGTAGTAGAAAGCATTCTACTACGAAAGTACATAATTTCTATGGTGAACTTAGTACTTATGTCAAAAACAATACTAGTAGGAAAGGTAACTAAGAGTGGTTAAAACAATGAAAGAACACTAATAAGGATACCTGGAAGTGGCTAAAACAATACCGACAACAATAAACCTGTTTTAGAAATAATTGAGAGTTTAGCAGCAACCCAGAATCCAGAATAAGCATAGCTGAAAAAGTTCAGCACAGTCTTATTCTATCCAAATGAGTGGACATCTCTACTGATACAGAAAATTAAATCACTTGCACAGTTAGCTCTAAAGGCAGCAAGAATAATATTTTCAGAAGGGCTAAAATGTTAAAGTGCTTTTTAATAATATCTCATTTAATACAACAAAAACAACCCTATGAAATAATTATTATAGTCACTTAGAGCTGGGGAACCTAAACTTGCATAATTAATTAGCTTGTATAAGCTCAAATAGTTACTAAATGACAGAACCAGAATTCAGATCCAAGTCTTTCTTCTGTTTTACTTAGTTACTAGATACTAAATGCTCCCCCCACTTCATTATGGCTGTTATCAGCAAATTTAAAAACAATACTCCTTGATTACATTTAGGGGATGTGAGCCTCTTCTTCTACATGGAATAAGGCCCTTCTCCTCTTTTATCTGCCTTATTCTATTTTTCCTCGTCATTATTCATACCAACAACATTCTAAATTCTTAATTGATGTCTTATCTAAGTATCCAATAATACTGGCATTGTGAAGCATAGGGAACCAATGAAATTCACACAAAAAGACGTATGTCCAAAAAAACATGAAATATTCATAGATGCTCACAGCAAACATTGCTGTATCTTGACCACATATACTTTGTTCTCTACACTGTGTTTTGAGATTACTTATAATCATTTTATTAATTATATATACATATATAATATACACTGTATATGTGTGAGTGTGTATATGTATGCATGGACATAGTGTTTCTTTTCTCTCAGTGTATTTTAAAAAAGCAAACTCTGAAGTCTTATGGGTCTGGACTTTTTCTTTTCCACTTACTAGTTAAGAAGCAATTATAAAAATGAAGTGAGAGAAAAGAAATGAAGTGAGAGAAAAGTAGCTTTGACTGCCATTTTTTTAACATCATATTTTAATGATGTTGAATATGCAAGGTTTGTCTCTCTGAAAAGATCTTCGGACACCTGAAGGTACACTTTCTCAGCTACCATTTCCTTGACCTTCTTGGGGTCTAGCACTAGGTCTCCTATGGGTTTGGAATAGATAATTATTAATTTGATATGGTCACCTGTTGATTATTCAGCTTATCTGCAGTAACCTTCCTCTGCAATCCCATTTTAGGGAGTCAGTCAAAAAGGCTCACACATTTTGGAACAGGATGGAGCTAAGCTGGAATGAGCTGTACTGCTAATCAGCTGTGTGATCTTAAGGCAATCATTCCATGTCGCTGAGCCTCTATTTTCCCAGGATTTATTTGGAAATGACACACTTTAAGAACTTGCTATTAGAAGTAGATGAGATGAAGTACAATAGATTGTCTAGTAAGAGGCCTGACACCATAGCAAGTCATTCAAAGGTAGCTTTAAATGTTATTTGACATTATCTATCATCACTTAATAGTTAATTAATAGTTTTATAAGAAATATCACAGTATCAGTTATCCTTTTTCTCCTTTTCCTGACAGAAGGCAGAGTTTTGTCAAGTGTAGAGAGGGAATTGAGTCCCTGAGACATGGCAACATTCTTGTCTTAAAGGAGATATAATTAGTTATAGTAGGGATGAAGAAGTTAGGATTGAGATAGTAAGAAGTCTGAAGGAAATAATCTTCACTAGCTTCTGAATTAGATAGTCATAAGCTGAGTATAAATCAAATAATTTTAGATTTATATCTTTGAGTCCCAAAATATTCTTACAAGAGTTAAACAATGTGAACAAATATCTTTCTTTCTTTTTTTTTCTTTTTTGAATTAAAGTCTCATTCTTATTGCCCAGGCTGGAGTGCAGTGGCACGCTCACAGCCACTGCAGCCTCGACCTGCTATGCTTAGGCAATCTTTCCACCTCAGTCTTCCAAGTAGCTGGAACTACAGACACATGCCACCATGCCTGGTTAGTTTTTGTGATATATTGCAGAGATGAGGTCTCACCAAGTTGCCCAGGCTGGTCTTGAACCCCCAGCCTCAAGCAATCCACTCACCTCAGTCTCCCAAAGTGCTGGGACTATATAGGCCGAGCCACCATGCCCAGTCATCTTTCAAAATAAATAATATTTCCTTGCTTTCTTATATATAATACCAAAGGTGAATTAGTCTTTTTCAGATAAAGCTGTGTGAGCTTGTTGAAAATAAGTTTGTACACAATGGTAATAGCTAAGAAAATCCTTGATGAGTGCAGTGACTTGACTTCATTAGAGTGCACGGTATTAGGCTGAACATAACTTTTTTTTGACACTTTAAGCCTCAAGCATTATGATTCTGCTAATGCTTATATTAGCCTTCTATATGTAAATCAGACTATCATTCCTAAATGTGAGCAATGCATGTCCCTCTAATAGGCACCCAAGACCAGTTCTCAATGTTTTACAAAGTAGGAAATAAGAACCAAGATGAGTAAAGGAAGGTTCTAAGTGAGAGTCTATGGATACTCAATGAGCCTTAGCGCATGATCGTTCTCCAAGCCAAAGGCTTCACTGAGCCTCAACTGGTATCTCCCTGATCAATGAAGTGCCTAAAAAAGAGACTTTTGAGGATGATAAAAGTGAATAAGTTACATAATGAATGTTATTATACTTGGGAAAGGAGAAACATTCTCAGTTATTTAAATAAGAATAAACCCAGAGTAGCAATAAAGAATGAAAACAACTTATGATTAAAGTTTTATACATCAAAATGATCAAATATCACATGTGTATGTCACATTAAATTATAATAAAAATATGGACATTTAAAGTATAAATTTTAAATATGAAAGTTGGATTTTATTTTTTAATGTTAAATATACTTCATATTTTGATTACATTTAAGTACTTACTTTAAAGCTTCAAGAATTTGATCAAAATAATTCTTTTCCTCTTCTTTTGCTTTTAATTCCTCCTCCAATTCATTTATTTTTGCATGAAAAAGAATTGTTTTACTTTTAGTTGTTTCTAATTCCTTAAATATTACTGAGCCTTTACTCTGAAAAATAAATATACAGGAATGTTTTACTTTAAATACTTGAATTTTGTAACCCTTGCACTTTAGGGACACAATTGCATTGGCTGTGTGGAAAACTAAAAGCAAATGGTAGAAATTCAGCACATGGGGAGACTGATTCTGGAGGACTGCTGGAAGCCAGGAGTTTCAGACTAGCCTGGGCAAGATCCTGTCTCTCTCTAAAGTTTTATTATTAGCTGGGTTTGGTGGTGTACACTTGTAGTTCCAGTTACTCAGGAGGCTAAGATAGGAGGTTTGCTTGAGCCCATTAATTGAGACTGCAGTGAGCTGTGATCATGTTACTACACTCCAGCCTGTGCAACAGAGTAAGAAATGTCTCAAAGAAAAAAGAGTAATAGTAACTTTTTGTCAATATAAGTAACAACTTATATTTATATTCTCATTACGTCTGATAACTTTTCTTTTAAAAAAAGAGTTAAAACTATTCTCTCTCTCTCTCTCTCTCTCTCTCTCTCTCTCTCTCTCTCCCTCCTCTAAACAAACTTGCCCTCTACACACACACACACACACACAGACATGCATACCTTACAAGCATGTCTTTTCAAGATGCAAGCATGTGGTCACTGGTTTTTAAATATGGACCAAGTACACTGGCAGGAAGCCAAGAATATTGTTCTACTTTCAAGCAAAAGAAATTAATATTCACTCCCAGTGTGTGCAATTCCACATATAGCATGTGGGCCTGTGCAATTTCACACTGAAGATTTGGTTTTGTATGATCCTTTCATGACAGTTGGTATTGATGGTGACTGAGTGACTCACTGACTGACTGAGTTATTGAATATTATTACTTATATTCAATATTGTTTGCAATTAGGGTTACTCTCCTAGCTGATGCTACATAGCTAAATTGCTCTAGTTTCCCTATTCTTCTCTATTTTCCCCATGTGCTTCTTAATCCTTTCTTTACTCTGATAGATTTCAAAAAGAATAAATATTTTCCTATTAACTTCGCTGTCTAAGATTTTGAACATTGGGCGCTATATTCGAATTTTCATGTCCTTCCTGCTTTCTTTCTTTCTTTTTTTGAAAGTTCTGGAAATTTTCTACCAATAAATGAATGTTGCAATTTTTCTTTTTTTTCTTATACTAGAATGGAGTAGAAAGATAGCTAATTAGGATACTTTGATGGACTCACTGAGATATTAAGTTATTTCTGGGGAAAAAAATAAATCTGAAGAGCATAGAAAGAGATAAGTTTGGATACTCTGGGTACAGCATAGTAACTATCATTAAATTTGACTTTTAGGTCAGATTTTTATAACTCATTTATTAGTCTTAAATAAAGATTCTGATGGGAAACTTAGATTTCGATTTCAGAAGTGAAACAGAAATCAGAGGCTTTCTGGCAGTGAAGCCAGTCTGTGTGTGTCCCAGTGTGAGTCAGGAAGTGTATCGAAAATTTTGTGTACATGTCTGTGAGTGAGCGGGTGTGTGAATGGCTGACTGAGTGGGGACTTGGGCACAAGTGACCAGGATTCTCCTGGTGAAGCAACTTGTGCTGCAGCTGCTCTGCTTGGACCCTAATACATCTTGGGGCGCAGAAGTCAAGTGCCATTTAAAAAAAAATAAGCAAAGCCTTTGCTGGGAAGAAGGTACAAGGAGTGACTGTTGGCTCAAGGCTCAGCCTCACCACCAGAGCACCTGGCCAGACACTGGTAGCAAGGACTGCAGAGGGAGCACAGAACAGGAGCCCAGAAGCAGAGCCTCACAGGAGAAGAAGAAACAGATACCTTGCCACCATCTTGAAAATTAGGCAGGAAAGTTTTGTGGCTTGCTCACCACGGACCAACAGACCCGATCTCCATAATGGCAGGTTAACTAACCAGGGGTTGGTTGTGACCCAGAGGGAATAATCTGAAAGCACAAACTCCAGAAGGAAAGGATGATCACTGAGTCTCAGACATCCCACCCCCTACCCTGATTCAGCCATGGGGCAAGGAGTGTGACTAGAAAAGGATGAGGAAGACCCCAGAAGAGATCAGCAGTGAGTCTGGGGCTGACACAACCCCATCTTCCTCAGCAGTCCTCTGAACACCAGACCCACATGGCTGGGGATAGCTGAGAGGGACAGACCAGGCGGAACCTGGATGTCAGCCACAAAAGGAGGACTCTACTCCAGGATAAGCCTGGCTTGGGCACCCCCACTGCTACGTGGGATGAGACAATCCCACACCTCCCCACCAGAGGAGGTCCCCCTGACCATATGAGGGTGGGAGGGGAGGACTGAAGTGCCACCAACCTCCACCACCTCCTCCACCTTCCTCAGGCAGGACACTGGGGAGATTGTGAATGAGGTTGCAGAGGACCTTTCCTGTGAGCAGTGGAGAGAAACAATTATAGGACCTGCACAAGAGAACAGGCTGTTTTTTGGTTTACTATTTCTTTCTTTTTCCTTTGTTCATGACTATGTACATAAAGATTTGATCTGGATTCCTCCCATATTTTCTTTTTCTTTTCTTTTCTTTCTTTCTTATATTGTTTTTAGTTTATGAGTATACATGAATGATTGAATGTTCATCATTTAGGATTTTGGTTGTTGTTGTTTACTTCTTGTTCTTCTCCTTTTTTAGTTTAATGTGTGTGTGAATGTATGTGTGAGGGTTTGATTTGAATTGCTTAATTTTTCTTTTATTTTTTCCATTTTGTGTTGGGTGTGTGTGTGTGTGTGTGTGTGTGTGTGTGTGTGTGTGTGTGTTCAGTTTTTCTGTTTTTTCTTTTTGGTTTGTTTTGCTTTTTCTCTACTTTGATTTGGTTTGGGGTATGTGTGTGTGTGTGTGTACCTTTTTTTTCCTGCTTTGGTTTCTGCTTTTCCGTGTTTCTTTAATTTTTAAAATTTTTGTCCATATTTTTTCATTCTACTTTTCTCTGTTCTCCGTATTGCTGTTATTATGTCTTGGATTCAGGAGGTACACACACATATGCATTACATCACCATAAAGAGTAGTGGGGGGGGGGAGTAAGCCTCAGGGAACCCATACCAAACTCATTGTGATTTGCAAGTAGTTTCTAAATCCTAGCTCCCCATCCTCCACCTTTTTAAACTATAAAAAGTACAAGAAACAGCAAAGCTTCCCATTCACAATCCTGTTTGAAAATAGAACAAATTCAGAGCCCTGATAAGAGAAGATTAGAGGGCTGAGCAAACATCAGAAATAAAAGCCTCTTCCACTGCCATTGAATAATGGAACTAAAGAGAAAAGAAAGAGATCTGTCACATAAGAGGAAGAATCAATGGATGAACACAGGAAATTCCCAGAGTAACAAAGAGAAAATGCCTGAAAAATCAGACTTCAGAGCCCAAACAATGGAAGTAACCAATGAATAGCCCCAGAATACAACAGGGATTAAGAAATGGATGGAAAGAGTGAATAATATTCAAGAAAGACAAGATGCAACACTGAAAGAACTTGTAACAGAGATTTTGGTCATAAAAAATTTCATCCAGAAAATAAATAGCAAGATGAAAAATATAGAAAGCAGAATTAATCAAGTAGAAGAAAGAATCTCAGAACTTGAAAACCAAAACATGGTATCAACCTGATCTGTAAAAATCATAGAAAGAAAACTCAGAAAGAAAGCCTCTAAGAGATGTGCAATTATATCAAGAGATGGAATCTACACCTGATTGGTATCCCAAAAGAAGAAAGGGAAAGGGAGAACAGATTGGAGCAAGTATTTCAGGAGGTTGTACAAGAAAATGTTCCCCATCTCACCAGAGATATGACCATCCAAATACAAGAGTGATAGAGAATCCCTGCAAGACATCAAATGAGAAGACCAACTGCTAAACACAGAGTGATTCACCTATACAAAGCAGGTACAAAAGAAAAAATTCTAAAGGCAGAAAGAGAGAAAGGTCAGACTACCTACTGGGGAAAACCAATTAGAAGGGACTGGAGTCCAACATTCAAAGTCCTCAAAGATACACAATTTCATTGAAGTATTCCCTATCCAGAAAAGCTCAACTTCAACAGTGTTGAAGAATTTAAATCCTTCCCAGATATTCAACTGAAATGTCACACACCTTTCAGACAACAATGGAATAAAAATAAATATAAACACCAACAAAATTTCCCCCAAGCTCACAAAGACATGGACACTAAATAGCATAATGCTGAATGATTACTGGGTCAACACAGAAATCAAAACGGAAATTAAAAGATTCCTGGAAACAAATGAAAATGAGGAAACAACTTGTCTAAACCTCTGGAAAACCATGAAAATAGTTCTAAGAGAGGAATTTATATCCCTATGAACACACATTAAGAAAATGGAAAGATCACAAGTTAACAGCCTAACAAATCACCTAAAGGAGCTGGAAGGACAAGACCACCAAAAACCTAACTTTAGCATAAGAATCCTGATCACCAAAGTAATAGGCCAAATATAGGACATAGAAGACAAAAATATCATAGAAAGCATCAAAACAACAAAAAAAAGTTGATTCTTTGAAAGAATAAATAAGACTGATGGACCCCCCCAGCCAGACTGACAAAGAAAAAGAGAGAAAAAGCCCAAATAAACATAATCAGAAATGCAAAAGATCAAATCAAAACTAACCCTGAAGAAATATAAAAGATTATCAGAGATTACTATGTACACCTGTATGGAAACAAATTTGGTAACCTAAATGAATTTGAGAACTTTCTGACATCACACAACTTCCCAAAGTTGAAACAAGAAGACACTGAGACACTAAATAGTCCAATAACAACCTAGGAAGTTGACTCCACCATAAGAACACTACCTTAAAAACAAAAACAAAAACAAAAAAAACCCTGGACCCGCTGACTTTCAAGCAGAATTCTACAAAACATACAAGGAGGAGCTGATACCAATGCTACTGAAAGTATTCCAGGTGATTGAGAAAGATGGAATTCTCCTAAAATCATTTTATGAAGTTAACATCACAATGACACCCAAATAGGGTAAAAATCCAACAAACAAAGAGAAGTACA